TTGAGACAGAGTCTTGCTCTGTTGCCCAGGCTGGAGTACAGTGGCACAATCTTGGCTAACTGCAGCCTCTGCCTCCCAGGTTCAAACCATTCACCTGCCTCAGCCTCCCGAGTAGCTGGGACTACAGGCATGCACCACCACACCCAGCTAATTTTTGTATTTTTAGTAGAGATGGGGTTTCATCATGCTGGCCAGGCTGGTCTCAAACTCCTGACCTCATGATCCACCTGCCTTGGCCTTCCAAAGTGCTGGAATTACAGGCACAAGCCACTGCGCCTGGTCTTTCACTCTTATAAATAGTATTATAGTGAACATCCTGTAAGTCAATCTTTGTGCGTGTCCACATTTATTTCCTTAATTTCTAGGAGTGTAATTGCTATGTCAAAAATAAGCAGTTTTTTAAAAACTTTAAGAATATTTAAAAATATGGAATTTAAACAGATCGTTAAATGATATATGTTGAAGAAATTTAACTCAAAGCCTATTGATCATAAGGTGCTGTCTTAGTTCATTTTCTGCTACAACAGAATAGCAGGGACTGATAATTTATAAACAATAGTAGTTTGTTTGGCTCATGGTTCTGGAGACTGGGAAGTCCAAGAGTGTGGCACTGGCACCTAAGCAAGGTCCTTGGTGCTGTGACATTCCATGGTGGAAGGCAGGCAGGTGAGCACACAAGACAGAGAGAAGAAATGAAGCCAAACTCATCCTTTTATCTGGAGCCCACTCCTGCCATAATTAATCCATTCATTGAGAGCAGAGCCCTCATGACCTAAGCACTTCTTAAAGGTCCCACTTCTCAACACTGTTTAATGGCAATTAAATTTCAACATGAGTTTTGGAGGGAACATTCAAACCACAGCAGGTGCAAAATAAGAGACCTTAGTTTTAAGACAGGTTTTCCTGTGATACACAAGAGTTTAGTACCTAATATTTAAAACTTATAAGCCAAGCATTCTGTTTGTTATAAAGATTTCTCTTAACTGTTAGATATGACAAAGTGAATGTGTAACCAATTTTAATGTTGTCTTGCAGTGTATGCTGATGGTAGCATATGTTTAGATATCCTTCAGAACCGATGGAGTCCAACATATGATGTATCTTCTATCTTAACATCAATTCAGGTAGGTGTATGTTAGGATGTATTACAATTTGTCAGTATTCTGTAGGATACAGTCAGCTCCTTTAGGAGCACTCTAACCTCATTAGCACCCAGGTAACCATGGCAGAGCTTGGACAAGAATCCATGATTTTCAGCTAACTTCTCTTTCAGTATGCCTACGTGGGATCCAGACCACAGTCTCTTTCCTAATTGTATAAGTTACATGCTCTCACATGTCAAACTTAGTTTGTGCCTCTGAAGCATAGCCAAGGGTTGTGGAAAAGAGAAAATTGCTTGGAAAAACCATAGGGACCTAAAGAAACTGCCAGGTGCAGATAAGCATTGAGTATGTTACTCCATCAAAGAAATTCTGTTTTAAAAAAAGAAAGGAAAAGTAATGTAACCATTTGCCAAAGCACTGTGGCAGAATATTTCAGAATAGATTTTTGAATGAAAATTTAGGAGGGATGGAGTGAGGGGTGTTTTAGTTTTGTGGATTTGAGAGGAGCAGAAATAATATGTTGGCTTGTGATGTTCCTTTTAAAGTTTTTTCTATTACACTTCTTTAATTCTGGTCATCTTTTTTTTCTCCCTTCTTTTTTTGAGATGGTATCTTGCTCTGTCGCCCAGGCTGGAGTGTAGTGGCTTTATCTTGGCTCACTGCAACCTCCACTTCCCAGGTTCAAGTGAATCTCTTGCCTCAGCCTCCCAAGTAGCTGGACTATAGGCGCGTGCCATGATGCGTGGCTGAGTTTTTGTATTTTTAGTAAGACGGGCTTCCACTGTGTTAGCCAGGATGGTCTTGACTTCCCAAATTGTTATGATTATAGGCATGAGCCACCCAGCCTGGCCAATTCTGGTCATCCTGTAAGCATTGTTTTTCAACCTTCCTATCTCATTCCCTTCCTACTAAATGTATGTTTTGTTGATGAAAGGAAACAAGACTTTATCCCCCAACTTTTACTGTCAGACATTTGCAAAGTAACTGCAGTAATAGAGTTTAATCTTGGACAGTGTTAGTTACTGTGAGATTTATTGGTAGTATATGATAACCAAATTAAGCTGTTCAGTTCCTTGGTTTAATGAGAAAGTCTCAATATGCTTAAGAATATTCTTTTCTGATTTCTTTGAAATTATAGGGTTTTTTTTTTTTCTTCTTTGTTTTTCTTTTTTTGAAACAGAGTTCTGCTCTCGTTGCCTAGGCTGGAGTGCAGTGGCGCAATCCTGGCTCATTGCAACCTCCACCTCCCGGGTTCAAGCAGTTTTCCTGCCTCAGCCTCCCTAGTAGCTGGGATTACAAGCGTATGCCACCACGCCCGGTTAATTTTGTGTTTGTAGTAGAGATGGGGTTTCTCCATGTTGGTCAGGCTGGTCTTGAACTCCCGACCTCAGGTGATCCACTCACCTCAGCCTCCCAAAGTGCTGGAATTACAGGCATGAGCCACTGTACCCCACCTCTTTTTCTTTTTTAATAGGAATAGGCTATCCTGTGTTACCCAGGCTGGTCTTGAACTGCGAGGCTCAAGGGTTCCTCCTGTCTCAGCCTCCCAAAGTGTTAGGATTATAGGTGTGAGCCACTGTACCCAGCTGAAATTAATTATAGGCCTTAAGGCAATTGAGAACTTTGTTTCAGAAGCTTAAATTCCTTAGCAGCAAGAAACCTCATAGTATTTATAAAACCCATTTCTAAAAGTATTTAGACCAAAAATTATATGACATATTGATCTCCGAAGTAATTTGTTTCATGTAACTGCTCTGTAATATATTCCATATCTGACCCCTGTTAGTATAAAGAATAACTGTGCAAATCTGTTTTTTCTTCTCTTTTCTCCTAGTCTCTGCTGGATGAACCGAATCCTAACAGTCCAGCCAATAGCCAGGCAGCACAGCTTTATCAGGAAAACAAACGAGAATATGAGAAAAGAGTTTCGGCCATTGTTGAACAAAGCTGGAATGATTCATAATAGACAACTGGTCTGTTAATCTTTTTCATCATTGTTGTGTATAATTTACCTCTCAGTAGAAAGGCTAACAAATTTTAAGTGCCACAGGTTTTAAGGATTCTGCAGAAAAAGAAAAATGTCCTTCAGTTTAGAACCTACAAAAGCTTGTGTATCTTGATTAATGTACTTTTTATTGCATGGTGTGAACTAAGTTATTGCTGCATAAATTTGTAATATATCCTGTTTGTATTTTTTTCCAAGTGTATAATGTTGGTGTGGAGTTTTCATGACAGAATATACACATTTTGTAAATCTGTACTTTTTTCAAATATCGAATGCCTTATTTTTGAATTCTTTAGATTTTTAAATTGGAGAAAAGCACTTAAAGTTTTTTATATATGAATATTACATGTAAAGCTGTTAAAATACATAACTTCAGTGCAAGAGACTTTGTCACTTATTTCCTTATGTGCGTAGGAGGGGTTAATAAGTCTCTAGCTCTCCATCAACTGATAGTTTCATTTACAGTTTCAAAAGAACATTCTTCTGTTTTATCAAGGATGTCTTCAAATTGGATTCTAAATAGCAGTTATAATGTCCAACTTTCTTTTGAATGTACCTATATTAGTTTCAATTGAATAATTCTATACATAACTGGTTTGATTCTGTCCAACTCTGTTACAGTTTCTTCATGCATTACTTACTGTTAAACTGTACCTTTTGAAATTTCACAGTTGGCACCTCTACCATGAGCAGAGAACTGATGCGACTTGTTTTGCTGCTTGGTAGCACTTTAAAAGGTTTTTGTGAGGCCGGGCACGGAGGCTAACGCCTGTAATCCCAGCGCTTTGGGAGGCCGAGGCGGGTGGATCACCTGAGGTCAAGAGTTTGAGACCATCCTGGCTAACATGGTGAAACCCCATCTCTACTAAAAAAAATACAAAAAATTAGCTGGGCATGGTCTCACATGCCTGTGGTTCCAGCTACTTGGGACGTTGAGGCAGGAGAATCGCTTGAACCTGGGATGCAGAGGTTGCAGTCACCCGAGATTGCGCTACTGCACTCCACCCTGGGTTACAGAGTGACACTCCATCTCAAAAACAAAACTTAAAAAAGGTTTTTGATTAAGGAAGAAAGTAAAGCCATAAACATTTGCCAGAAATTCATACCCCCCAGTATTAGCAATGAATTGGTTCCATTGGTTTGAGAAAGGCACATATTTGGAGGGAAATCTTGGTGTAACTTAAATATTTGAAAATTACCTTTAATGCAATGCATATCTGTTTATTCTAGGAAATGTTTTAACGCCAGGGCCTGCTGAGTTGCTGCTTCTTGTGGAGATTTTTTTTTTTTAATCTCCTGAGTTGTAAAAGTTGTACTGCATCTTAGTTTACTGGTTAAATTTAAAACACAGTATTGTAGAAAGCTAATACAAAACTATCCTATGCCTTCAAATAGTATAGAAAATGGAAAATATACAAGTAAATTCTGTTGAACCACCTGTGTAGTCTCTCTAGTAGTTAAAACAGCTATTTCAGTAACCTCAAGAGTTTCTTGTCATATCCATAAGATTGAGTTACAGTATGGCAATATCTGCAGCTTCTATTCATTATGCAAAGTTTAACATTTGAATGGATAAATGCTTATAGGTCAGGCCAGGTGGCTCCTACTTGTAATCCCAGCACTTTGGGAGGCCAAGGTGGGAGGATCACTTGAGGCCAGGAGTTCGAGGCCAGCCAAGGCAACCTAATAAGACCTTGTCTCTACTTAAAAAAAATTTTTTTAATTACTTGGGCATAATGGCACTTGCCTGTAGTCCCAGCTACTCAGGAGGCTGAGGCGGTAGGATAGCTTGTGCCTAGGAGGTTGAGACTGCAGTGAGCTGTGATCATGCCATTGCACTCCAGCCTGGGTGACAGAGTAATAGCCTATCTTTAAAAATAAAAGGTATTACTTGGCAAATTCTGGGGTAAGTGTATGATCTGAGGGAACTCTGATACAAATGAGAATTCATAACTGGAATCAGGGCTCCCAAAAAGATGCTTTTTGTGGTGCTTTTGTAGTTTAGCTCCAAAACAAATTATGGACATTTACTCCAGTAACTCCTAGATCATCCAGTAGCTATGAAGGTCTGCCCTCTTTTCTTATTTTTATTTTTATTTTTTTTTTTTTTGTGACGGAGTTTCACTCTTGTTGCCCAGGCTGGAGTGCAATGGCGCGATCTCGGCTCACCGCAACCTCCGCCTCCTGGGTTCAGGCAATTCTCCTGCCTCAGCCTCCTGAGTAGCTGGGATTACAGGCACGCACCACCATGCCCAACTAATTTTTGTATTTTTAGTAGAGACGGGGTTTCACCATGTTGACCAGGATGGTCTCAATCTCTTGACCTCGTGATCCAACCGCCTTGGCCTCCCAAAGTGCTGGGATTACAGGCGTGAGCCACCGTGCCCGGCCTTATTTTTATTTTTTAAAAAGCTAGGTGGCTTTTTTTATTTTAAAATTTTATTTATTTATTTATTTATTTTGAGACAGAGTCATGCTTTGTCACCAGGCTGGAGTGCAGTGGCACAATCTCGGCTCACTGCAGCCTCCGCCTCCTGGGTTCAAGCAATTCTTCCACTTCAGCCTCCCGAGTAGCTTGGACCACAGGCGCGTGCTACCACGCCCGGATAATGTAGAGACGGGGTTTCACCATGTTGACCAGGATGGTCTCAATCTCTTGACCTCGTGAGCCAACCGCCTTGGCCTCCCAAAGTGCTGGGATTATAGGCGTGAGCCACCGCGCCCGGCCTAGGGTCTGCCCTCTTATTTCATTAAATGCTATCTGGTTATTACTTCAACATCCATTTTTATCTTTAATCTGTTTTTGCCTTTCCAGTTTAAAAAGGAATATTTCAAGTATTGGTAGATACTTGAAATAAACAAGTTACATGTTACTTTGCAGGGAGGTCAGTGAGTTCTAACTCCAAAATTCGACACATACATAAAACTCAGCATCCACATACCTTTTGGAGAAAATCCTTAAGAAGGTTCAATCTGTACGTAACTCCTCACTTTTTTCTTCAGCCTTGGAACAGATTCCTGTTTCTTTGGTTAGGTACCAGATATAAATCTTCGATTTACAAAATTGTGTTATACAAAAAGTCTGTAAACTCTAGGTCAGTTTCATAAGTGTATGGTAGGGCAAGAAGCTAGAACTAATTTATGTTGGTACAAAGTTATATTGATGGTTTCATGTTAAAGTTTACATGCATGTGTGATACAATTCCCTGTAGTAATACCCCTAGCAGAGAATAATCTGTGAAAGGCACTATTCTAAGCACTTTTAACACATATTATTTCATTTCAGATTCACAGTAATCTCAGATTACAGTAATCTGTAATCTCAGCACTTTGGCAGGCCAAGGCAGGTGGATCATGTGAGGTCAGAGGTTCAATACTAGCCTGGCCAACATGGTGAAACCCTCCAGAAATGTATCATCTATTAAGATATATTTTAAGAGGTTGAGATTGGTTGTAGAAATTCTGCAGAACTTCAACATTCATCTCAATTTGTGGAAATACTTTAACTGATTTAGTTTTATACAGGCTTGTAACTACTCCAATGAAAAGGTTTCCTGTTTTTTGAGATAGGGTCTTACTCTGTTTCCTAGGCTGGACTGCAGTGGCTCCAGGCAGCTCACTGCAGTCTTGACCTTCCAGGCTTAAGTAGTCCTCCCACCTCAACCTGAGTAGCTAAGACTACAGGTGCATGCTACCACACCCGGCTAATTTTTTTAGTTTTGTAGAGACGATGTCTATGTTGGCCAGGCTGGTCTCAGAGTCCTGGGCTCAAGTGATCATCCTGCCTCAATCTCCTAAAGTGCTGGGATTACAGGCATGAGCCACTGCACTTAGCCCAAAGGGTTTTCTTGACTACCATTTTCCACTGACTTTAGGAACACTTTCTGGTTTCTGTATAAAGGACTAACTTACCAATAAGCCACCTTTTTCCCCTTCCCAGAAATATCCTTGAGTCTGTAGGATTTCTCCCCTCTACCTCCCCCGCCAAGTTTCATTAACATGAATAACTTTGGAACTAATCTAAATTCACACTCATGTAGGTGGAAGATAGGGGAGAAGTAAGTTATTAAAGGTGTGGTATTAGTCTGTTTAATGCTCATTAAACAACATTAACTGCCTACTTACTCATTTAGTACTCTTTAAGAGAGAACCCTGAGGATCCATAGTGTACTGATTCAGAGTTATGTCTAAGGTGTTTCATATCTCAATTCTCCCAGGTTTTAGGAGGTAGGGATCAAATTTTTGAGTCTTCATGGTGTTTATGACAATTTCTTTTCCATTGTATTCAACAACGCAGAGTTCAAGTGGAATCTGAGTTATGTGAGAATCATGTATCTAAGTAGAAAAGTGAATAGTTGGAAAGTTGTTAAAGTTAAATGAATTTATCTATAGGACGGGCCTTATATCAAGATGATAGCTCTATTACTTTAGTTCCCATCTGGTTAGTGGGGAATGAACTGTTAGCAGTTGGGGAAAAGATTAGTTATCATCAGTCATTCTAGTACGGATATTAGAAACAAAGACATTAGAAACTAAATTTTATTGTTGAAAGGACTTCTTTATCATTTGAACAAAGAAGACACAATTAAATGTGTACTGTTATTCCCTCAATGAATTTTCCTCACCATCACTACAGCTTTTTAAAACAATTCTGTCAGCTGGATGTGGTGGCTCATGCCTGTAAACCTAGCACTTTGGGAGGCCAAGGCAAGCAGATCACAAGG